CTTCCTTGCTTATCACAGTGCTGCACCCCACTCCTGTTCGGACCGCGTTTATCCGGGAGGTTCTTGCCTGGGGGCGATAAGCCGTCAGGCTCACCCCTACATGGATCCAAGGTCTCTCAGTTTTTTCCCCTGATGTTCTAACACTACGGTTTCCACTGCCCCTCAGTCTATCTATCATTCTCCAAATGGCTCATCTCCTTCTCTTTTGTTCTCAAATGCAGAAATAAAGAGGTATTTGTGTAACAAACCCATCTACAAACAGTTTTAGCAAATAGGCTCCCAGGAAGCTTGACATAGACGACACTAGCGCTAACTGGCGTTCTGCCTCAAGATTTATGCCGTTCTTTGAGTTAATGTTACACCAGAGCTTATGCCTATAATATTAGCATCATAGAAGCTCTTAGGTATTGTAGCGCCAAGAGTTTTTATTTATAATGTTTCTATTTTCCCATCCTTGGATTGTAATTTTCCATCTTGGGCTTTGGTAAGGCAATAATTAGCAGCTTATGCAAATATGCATTAATTTATCAGATAATCGCTGTACTTTAAATTACAGAGTGTGCTGAGTAAGACTCTGCCTCTTTTCATTGGCTGTGGCATTGACTTTGTCCTCACATCACAAGGACTTGGCTTTTTACGTCATTAGTTTAATCATACACATTATGGTTATGAAAACAATAGCTTGTGATTTGATTGTAAAAAATGACAAAAAGCCGTTTATAGTACGCTCAGGCAGTCCTGAGGTGAGAATTAAATATGATGATGTGAACAAATACACCTTATGTATTCTTTCCAGTGTTTAGCGTGTTGCTAAGGCTCACGGTGCTGTACAGGTGCTGTGAAACCCTATTACAGCTGTTCAGTGGCCTTCAGCTTTGCAGTAGTAACACAAAAGCACACAAAAGCACATGCCACTCATGTACCAAACCTTATACCAGTGTTTTGAATTCATTTATTGATGATTGGTTCACAGTGGACCATTTGAAATGAAAGCGTTTTGGTGTCGCAGGCAGTCACTGGCTCAGGTGTTGCTGCGGAGGCCGCTGAACTTGTGCCGAGTTGCCACAAAAGTTTGCCTGCAGCCCCAGTTTGTCTTGATTTAAGGTGGTTTTCGTGTCTCTCTCGGGATCAGATTTATCTGTCTCCATTTCAGTTTTACAGCATGTTTGCATTAGGAACAGATGCTCTTTTTCACTCAGCGAGGCTGTAAATAGGCCACCATGTTGCTTCAAATTTTGCAAGAGAGGTGACGATGCAAACAAAAAAAAAAATGCTTTTGTGTGAACTGAGGTGCGATTGTGTGTTCGAACATTGGATGCGATTGCACATTTAAAGGTTCAGCTACTGTTCAAGGTTCTGTGTAATTTCAGAGTATCAATTAGCCATGTCCAATTAAAAATATTGGATAAATCAAGGCATTATGGTGCGTATTAGAGATAAGAGTAAGGAGTTTAATGATTCTGGTTACGATTTCAATTAACAGTTATGGTTCCTTAATGATTCAGTTAATAATTATTTTAGTACTTTTGAGGAACCAACCAAATATACTGTTATGTATTAAAGATAAGCACTATAAGAAGTGTTTTTGAAAACATTTTTAATAGCAAAAATCAGTAATAATATTAATAATAATAAAAAAATATATTTTAAAATACTGTGTAGAAAAAAAATATATTGTGCATATGAAGTGTTGATCAATGTACACTAAGAAAAAAACAACAAAATGGAGCCCAATGTACTGTGAATAAATTTTCTGTATTAATTATCCACGTGTTTCACCTGTATTTTGAGTTGTTTGCATTGGGGTGTTTTAGGGTTAAAGGAAATGTCTGTAAATGTATTGGATGTCCTGGCCTAAAATTACTAGGTTTTCTATGGATTGTTGTCTTGCAGTGTACTGTAATATTGGCTTTAAACTCTGTTTAAAACATAGATCTTGATTGACGTCTTTTTTGACACATCATGATGAAAGCATTATGATGTGCAGAACACAGTCACTCTCAAATTGATTTTATATAATGCAAGCACATCTTTACCCTTCAGTTTATTACATGAAAATCTGGTTTGTCTCTCACTGTCTGTATAATGCATGAAGTTGCCAAGTGCATGTGTGTTATTAATCAGCCAGTATCCGAGAGGGGAATCTTGGATGCAAGTTAAAACATTTTTAATGCAAATATACAATGTGGTATTTGAATTATGTGATTTATATGGGCACAATTAGGAAAAGCAAATGAGAACTAAATTTGTAGTCGTGTTTGAATTTTGATTGCAATATTCTAATATCTCTAGTGTTCAGTGTGAATTTTGGTGCATCCCTGATAACTCACGAGTTTGAGACTGATTTGTCATTTTGACTAACTTATTAAATAAAAAAGTAAAAAATAATCAGGTCACAGTCATTAGTTTGTAATTGGACTACACAGGTTGCGCTATGTGTTTGTTGCTTGCAACAAGCAAGAATCATACAATAGAAAGAGGCAATGTTGTTTGCTTATTGTCTTTATATTATTTTATGGTGCACAGGCTTTCTCTCTCTCATCACATTGAATTGCTCACAACTCTGCTAAAGCAATTTCTTTTGCTGTGGCACTGTAGATTAAATTGCGGCACAGCAATTGAAGTGTAGAAAGCACTGTCAGTTTTTATCAGTTCTTTCATTGCATCTGCATTGGCAAAAAAAAAAATGCAGACATTCAAGATTGTTTAACAGATCGAAATGTCTTATATCATTTTTTTTAAATGGAAATGTTTTGAATAAGAACTGATTCCCAACCCCAGTGTGTAGATTTTTGTAACTGCAATGGGAATCAGTAAATTAATGTTCATGTCTATTTGTACAACCTTACAATTGTGCCCCCTAAGCACTTGAATGGGTAATACCTAGTCGCTGACATTTAAAAGAAGCAGCACTAGAGAAACTTATTTTGCCTCTCAAGGAATCATTTAGCCATGAAGTTTCTTCACTTGAACAGACACGAGAAATGTTCTTCAGGATAAAGAAAGTGAGAGCTAAGCAGTAAGATTCAATGCCATATTTATTCTTGTAAGATTTGACTGTGCTATATGAATAGAAAAATGCATATTCTAATGGTATCCTTCCATCAAAGAACCTAGCATTGTTCTTTTTGATTGACACCAAATTATTTATAGATGCACTGCAGTGGTTGAAAGAGGAAGGTCATCTAGTGCTCATCATAAATCGACACTTATTCATGTAGATAACAGGAAATGTTTTCATATGTCATTGTTTGCTGTAACTGTCAACCCAGTCGTCACTAATGGCACTGCTGCTGCTACAGATGTTATTTATGCGCTCTGTGTGAATCCAAATGATGATAAATCTCACACATGTCTCACACACCCTAAAACCCCAAGCCCAGTGAGCGCTTGCCCTCTGACAGCAGCTTGGCAAAAATAACAGTCTTTAGCGTAAGCGTTTTGCAAGTGTGTGTATGTGTGTTCGAGAGTTTCAGGCAATGTTCATTTGCATGAGCCCCCTGAGGACGTTTAATGGTACTAACTTTCCCCAAGCTGAGAACCAGCATGTTTAGGCAAACCTGCTGACTATTGCAATGTCCAACATCACTCCTTCTCCCCCTACTCTTATCTCCAAGAGTCACTCTCTTGCTCTCCTCTCTCATCACATTGAATTGCTCACAACTCTGCTAAAGCAATTTCTTTTGCTGTGGCACTGTAGATTAAATTGCGGCACAGCAATTGAAGTGTAGAAAGCACTGTCAGTTTTTATCAGTTCTTTCATTGCATCTGCATTGGCAAAAAAAAAAATGCAGACATTCAAGATTGTTTAACAGATCGAAATGTCTTATATCATTTTTTTTAAATGGAAATGTTTTGAATAAGAACTGATTCCCAACCCCAGTGTGTAGATTTTTGTAACTGCAATGGGAATCAGTAAATTAATGTTCATGTCTATTTGTACAACCTTACAATTGTGCCCCCTAAGCACTTGAATGGGTAATACCTAGTCGCTGACATTTAAAAGAAGCAGCACTAGAGAAACTTATTTTGCCTCTCAAGGAATCATTTAGCCATGAAGTTTCTTCACTTGAACAGACACGAGAAATGTTCTTCAGGATAAAGAAAGTGAGAGCTAAGCAGTAAGATTCAATGCCATATTTATTCTTGTAAGATTTGACTGTGCTATATGAATAGAAAAATGCATATTCTAATGGTATCCTTCCATCAAAGAACCTAGCATTGTTCTTTTTGATTGACACCAAATTATTTATAGATGCACTGCAGTGGTTGAAAGAGGAAGGTCATCTAGTGCTCATCATAAATCGACACTTATTCATGTAGATAACAGGAAATGTTTTCATATGTCATTGTTTGCTGTAACTGTCAACCCAGTCGTCACTAATGGCACTGCTGCTGCTACAGATGTTATTTATGCGCTCTGTGTGAATCCAAATGATGATAAATCTCACACATGTCTCACACACCCTAAAACCCCAAGCCCAGTGAGCGCTTGCCCTCTGACAGCAGCTTGGCAAAAATAACAGTCTTTAGCGTAAGCGTTTTGCAAGTGTGTGTATGTGTGTTCGAGAGTTTCAGGCAATGTTCATTTGCATGAGCCCCCTGAGGACGTTTAATGGTACTAACTTTCCCCAAGCTGAGAACCAGCATGTTTAGGCAAACCTGCTGACTATTGCAATGTCCAACATCACTCCTTCTCCCCCTACTCTTATCTCCAAGAGTCACTCTCTTGCTCTCCCTCTCTCTCTTTCTCTCTCTCTTTCTCTCGCTCTCAGAGTTGAAGCCGAGAGTGTTATTAGTCTTTAAAGAGCCTCTCTGGCTTCCACTGCCTCAACGTCTGTTATGATCAGAGCTCCAGGATTAGTGCTGTCACCACTCTGCATCTCTCTGCCGTCCTGCCCTCGCTCTCCCTCTCTCCTGGCGCATCCCGTGTGACCCACGGTGCATGTTACGCTATTATTCCTCCCCACCTTCTTTCCCTCTCTGGAAACTCCTCTACATAGATGAACGCACGCTGTGGAGCTTTTTGGCGTGCAAAACGGGAAAAGGAGAACGATCGTGTGGGAGATTTCTCACTGTGGACTGGGACAGATCCACTACTGCAGGGCAAACAGCGGACTGCTTCGGACAGCGGTGACAGCAGCGAGAGGGAGCGTGTGTGTGCATGCATCCGTGCGCATGTTTCGAGGGAAGACTGAGCTGTGCTGCGCTTCTCAAACGCTCATTCTCTCACTCTCGGATGATGAAGGCTCTCAATCGCATATGATGGAGCTTGACTGAGAAGGGGGTCTCACTCTCACCCGTGCGCTCTTAGGCGGGCAGAGCTCAGGAGCTCTCTGCAGCGGGGTGGAGGCACACGCACGCTTCACGCTTGCTTCTGGACTGTGACCGATGACTGGACCAAAGAGCCAGGTTCCGTGTGCCCCTCGTGCTCCAGTGAGCATAAATACGGCCAGGTGAAGGACCATCACCTTCGACCCCCGAGACCTCTGGAGATGTTCCTCCTCTCTCCTGTGAGACTCACTTTGTTTCTGCTGGTCTTCCTGGACGTTCCCCATCCATCCCTTCAGGGCAGGAATAAGGGCAGATGGAACAAGGGGGGTAAGTTTCGGACAGGTTCTTTCACCTCAGGAAGTCAGTGCTTGTTGTACTCTGATATCTATAATGTTTGTCCCGCTGGTTGGGGAAATTATCTGAGAGTGTCAGGCAGTGATTGGAGCATTATTGGTCAACTCGGGAGATTCTTACGAACAATCCTTGTGTAGAACTTTATTTTATTGTTCAAATTTATTATTAAATATCATGATTATATTGTTGGGCTTGTTGTAGTTGTCTTCCTTACAGGATGTAGTTGAGGTGCTCTGAAACTTGATGGTTGACATTGCTATCATGCATCACAATAAAGTTTAGTTTTTTTCCCTCTTGTGCCGTCAGCGCTATGTTCCGTTGTGTGTGCAGACGCTACTCAGCTAAAAGCTTTCCTACCACACTGATAGTATTTCACTTCCTCTGCGCTCTTCTGTAGGAGGTTATTGGGCTCGAAAAAGCTGTCGAAGAAGACTCTGAGGGAAGGAAAACCCCTTGAGAATTTGGAGTGCTTGTGACTATATGTGGGGGAACTCTGATTCCACGTGCATGGATATGTGTGCGAATGTGCTAAAACATAAACCATGAACCTTGTGATTGTGCTATAAAGTCATGTCTTACCAGGCTGTAGATAAGTGTTAATAATTCAAAGCAGACCCCCATTCTATGGGAAAACTGCTCTCCCGCTTCTCAGGCAGCATCTAATCCCCTTTGTGGGATTAAAGAGAGAGCTGTAATCTTAGCGGCCGCTCCTGGCGAAGACTCTCTGATGCTCATCCGAAGCCCATGGGTGTCGCAAGCGCTACAGACTCTCGTCTTCAAAGAGTCGCCGGTCCTGCGAGTCTCCCCCATAACTGCTCTGCAGTGGCTGTTCCTCTCATCTCCCTCTTCTGATTTAGCAGGTGTCAGATGGACTTCAAAGCTGACTCACGTCTTGTTGAGTGCTATCTGGTTGAAAGGTCGGACATCTGACTCAGGGGTTAGTCAGACAGATCTCTATTTACACTATGTCGTAGTTGGACAATGTTTAAAGAGAAGGTTCATCCAAAAATCGCAAAGTCTGTCATCATTTACTCCTCTTCATGTCCTTCCAAACCCATTTCACATTCTTTCTTCTGTGGAACACGACTGGAGGTATTTATCGGAAATGTCCAGCCTGCTTTTTCGCAAATGACAGCCATTGTCACAATTGAATTTAATAATATGTTAATTAGCAGCTTGGATTTCATGATGGAAAACTCTCTTGCATTTTTTGCAGAAGAAAAGCCCTACATGTTTGGAGGGTGAACATTCTAAAATAATGTTTTTTTTTAATCCAAAACTGAATACATTTATCAGAAGCAGTGCCATTTAATTTCATTTTAATTAGTGATAATACATTAAGAGGCTGATCTCAGTCTGTGTTTTGTAAATATCAGGGATGTTGTCCTTGAATAGTTTCCGTTGAGTGGAAAGCATGTTGCCATCTGTAATCTGAACACTCTCCCCTATTTTTGGCCCATTTCTGTTTGAAATGGGAAAACAAGACACAGTGTTAGCCTATACTTTCTAAATAGTATAATCTGTATTTCAGTGGGACGTAAATAAATGTGACATCCCTACAATCTTTGGCCTCTGTTGAGATTGGCATTGGCTTCCCATGGCGCAATTAGGGCATGGTCAGAACAGCTGTGTGAATTGGGCTCCAGCTTTCCTCTTTGTGAAGATGACACCGCACGCCCAATTACCTCTTCATGACACACTTGAAAAGGTGTAATTTTACCTGTGGATATGATAAGATCAGCCTAGCATGGGCGAGTATTTGTTGCTGTACTGTTATTATGAACGTTTAGAACAATCCCTAGTTCTACTTTGCTCTGTGTGTGAGGGTATTTGCCCGGGAACAGTGGTTGCTGTCTTTTTTTTTAATGATGCTTGGATTAGATTTTAAATGTTTGATTAAAGTGATCATAATTGTTGCCCAGTGCTTTGGTAGGTTTATTTATATTTTTAATTTCACTTGTGCTTTGCATTTCTGATTTAAGTGTCACATAATTCCAAAACGCACCACTAGCAATGCAAATTCAGTTTAATTTCTCCTTACATTTTCAAAAATGCAATGGCATTTTTATATTAGTATATGTAATTATGCATCACATTTTGCATGTGAGTACAGCGCATGAAGCATTTTAATTTTTTGTTAGTGCTTTTGAAAGGGCTGAATGGAGAGAACCTTGTAGCCCTGGCCCCAGTTAGCACTCTTGCACTTAAAGTCTGTGCTTTTCTGTTCGGCTTCCGCGGTCTCCTAGGTTATCTAAAATGAAATTCAAGCATGTTGTCTCCCCATGTATTTAAATGTGAATGTCACCATGGACTTCCTGATAGTGGGGAATTCTCAGGGGCCAAGTCAGACCTCATACGCTATCTCTCGTTCTCTCCCTGACATAAACACAGTCTTGCGAAGCTATGCCCTCACAAAATTTAAATGTGCCAGTCAATCTCTCTGTCCTAATAGAGGTTTATTCTCCTGGGCTACCTGAGGGACATGGCATTTAGAGGGCAAACCGAACCCACTCAATGTCACCCTCCATCTGTTTCACACCATATCCCAGCATTCCCTTCAAACTCAGCTTGGAAATATCCACCGCTGCCTTCTCCACCAGATATTTTTTTCCCTTTCCTATTGTTCAGGTCACCGAATCCCTGAAATGCAGTCCCTCCATATGGCAAACGCTAGACCGCATGAGGACCTGTAGGCTGCCCACTGTGAGAAGACATTGAGACACACTCTCAGAAATGTACCTGAATTCTAATGCACTTGGCTGTCTGGCTTCGTCATGAAACTAGTCCATGAAAATGAACATAAACCCAAAGCTCAGAAGTGTAATTCTTCCTTCAGGCCCCCATCTGCTTGTGACCAAGGAGCACCTTCATGCAAGTCACTGCTACTGCCTGAAGACTAGTAAGTAAAAGAAATGTCTTGCTTATGGATCCCAATTCACAATCCTTTCCGACTTGGGAGTCTTGAGGTCCTGGGTGGCCAGATTTTCAGAGCGGCTAGAATCAGAGAAGCAATTAACAATTCTCACAACTTGCTGCTTGTGTGGAAATGGATTTCAGGCTCTCTCATGGGCCTGTGCTTCACTGATGTCTCAGCGCTCACCATTATATGCCTGCGAGACAAGTGATACTAACTGTGCATGGGAGAATAATAATTTCTCTGTTCCTCTGAACAGTCTGCCGCACAGAGCGCTTGCAGAGTGCCATGCAACAATGGCACATTCAATTATTCTCTCCTCTCACTGTCAATGTCGCAACATCTCGACAGAGTGCCCCCAACCAGACCGCTGCTTTCATAACTGGTAATAATGTCTCACCGGGGAGCTGAAGTGTGGTGGTCTATATGCTCTTACGTTGCACAATGCAGACATGCCTCAAAAGAAGGTAAATTTATCACTAAAATGAACAGTGTTCTTTTTTTGAAGCTCAGGGTGACAGATTTGAGTGCAATTTTCAGCTTATCACAGTTTTGCCAAGTATTCAATCTTTTTATATTTGGGGCTTTTGCTGCTTTTTTATTGGATACAGTGGAAAATGCAGAAAGGACATTATTGTGATGAGAGTGGGGATGGAATCAGAATGTGTTAGCCAGATTCAAACCTACATTACTAGTGTAAACACCTAGGCTCCAACATATCTAGAGCATGTACACTGCACCACAGTCAGGCAGAGTTATTTTGAAGCTACAGTAGTTTGGCAAGCAGCAAAATACTACTGTTTTTAAGGTAAACTAGAGTAAATCTACTCTTTTGAAGCTAGTTGCTAACAAAAAGTAGCTAACTGAACTGACACCATGTAAGGAGACATTGCCTTTTAACTGTTCCATTTTAAGTTGTTAAACTACAGTCTACTTTTTTGAAGCTAGTTGCTAACACATAGCTAACTACATTGATACTAAGGATGCAATGTAGTTTTAATTTGAGAAGTGTTTATTTGAGATTGATAATTTTATTTTACAACTTATTAAGAGGGTTTTTGTTTGCTTATTGACTCTATTCTTATTCTTGACTCTTATTCTTTGGCTGTAAATCTATTTAAGCAACACAGTGACAATAAAAAAGCTATGTAGCATTTTGTCATGCTACACAGCTAATTGTTGAAAATATAGCTTGCTACTCAAGAAGCTACAACGGCTATTGTCATGCTTCTGATGAATGTTGCACTGCATTTAGTTGATTATTCTCCAACATTGACCACGTATTGATGCCAAGTATTCAATTTAACATGAAGGAGATTTTCATAGTGTGTGTTCGTGAGAGATCTGATCTGCTGACTGAAGTTTAACTGGCACATACAGTATAGCTATTATTCATGCTGGACGTATTTCATCATTGAAAACACCATGTTATATTCTATTTCGGGTCTTGATGGACAGTAGGGAAGAAATATTTGTCCAGATTGGACTCTTATGATCAGAGCACATCTGCCCCGCGCTGCCCCTTCCTCTGAACGCTGCCATTTCCGTCACACTCTCTCTAATGAAGCTGCTGTCTAATTGCAGTGGGGAGCGTTCCCAAAAGTAACAGTGTTTTATGGGGGATTTTATGCTTCAGAGATGACAGCAAAGGCTGATGGATGGGAGGACGTAGATTTTACGGCCTAAGACCCTCTCACCCATGTCTTCTATTCATTTCCATTCTCCTTCTCTTTCTCTCCTCTTGCTTTTTTTTTTTGGAGTCAAAGACACACTAGTCCAAAAGGGTTTATACCAATCAAAAGTTTGTACACGCATACTAATTTTTTTTATTAGTGGTGCTTGCTAAGTCAAGTCAAAATAACTATTACAATTTGGTGTGCAACTCATTATGCACAGTTGTGCTGTGGACATGAATGATATTTTAAATTGTGTTGCTTGCTGAGGAGAATTCAGTCAAGTGTGTCAAACAGTTTGACTAGTAGTGAATGTTTATATATATTTAATAAAAAAAAAAGTATATGTAAGTACATATGTTTAGTTATAAACAGTATCACAATAA